CACCCTGGATTTAATGCATCTCGAAAACTGAACTTTTAAACAAACATAGAATCTTGACATTTATATCCTAACAAAGACTTCTCGCTGTTATAACAAAATACTTTACCAAGTGACCAAGTTCTTTGTACTCTACGAAGTACAGTTGGATGATAAATCAGTATACAGATTTAGTTCTCTTATAAAGAGAAAACGGGCAGGCAAACAAAACAACAACAACAAAAATCCGAAACAAGCAAGTCCGATAATTCAATCGATCGATCGATGATCTTACGTGATAAAGCAGTGATATCGTGTTCACTTGACGTCTTGCCATGTGTGGTAACAGCTTTTGTCCCAGGTGATGTTCCACGAAAACTTCTACTAGTTAGAGCAGGATGGTGGAAACAAATTCCTTTACAGGTAGCTGTTAAAACAATATAACTACTGTCATTGCCACTATGCATTGTTTGAGTAATATCCCTATTACAAGGCAGGGTGGCAGACTCAATACCTCTGGTCGGTGATAACTTTTCTACGCCACGTCCCTATATCTAATCCAGAAAACTTCAAAGTGTCTATACGGCCAGCCGATGACTACGGGTTTTTGTCCCCTTATGGTGATGAGCTATCAGTGGTAAGGTGGTCGCAATAGGTGGCCTTCAAAAAGAGCAGGGTGGGGATGGGAAAGATAAAGAATAGAGAAGGGGGGGGGGGTGAGAGTAGCCTACGGAAAATTCAAAGGTGTGCACAACAATAACGTTTGATACAGCGAATATTTTACGTTCTCTGTTACTGATCAATACCTGTTTCTTCCTCGCAAATCCATCCTCTTGAAAGGTCGCTCCTAACGGTGCTTAGTGATCCTTTGAATCCAGATGGATATTCCTCATGAATCACCCCGTAAGAGTCCTTTGGGTCAGGATTTGTACCAATCCTATGCCATTTGTCAATGGTCAAAGGTTTACCATTGATCCAATTCCATCTCCGTGTTGTTAAATTTTGTTTCAAACCAATAAACCATTCACTATATATGGTACCTGTTTTATTTTGAATCTCATTTGTAATAAATTGCCATTCCTGCTCTGATTCCAACACTGCAAGTGTTTTATTGTTGTTTTTACAGTAGTTCCTTGCTGGTGGCCATATCCGTCGGACTTTGCTGAAGGTATAACACGAACATAGCCTCTGACCATCTATAGTAACACAATGATATAGAAGTTAGACTTATCAATAATGACCGCGAAGTGTGTCTGTGTTCGTCTGTGCGATAATGCATTGTCTATTGGGTTAACTGTTACTTGCCGAAGATCAGCTTTGATTTTCTTGGAGGCAATCTTTATTATCATTCTCATCACTCTCCTCGTTCATCTCTTTCTCTTCCTAGTCATCATTATAATGGTCGCTGTTGTCTTTGTCGTCGCCACATGAATGGCCGGCTGATGTTTACAATTCAGCGCCTTAACTATGCAGTTAAACACCTGTTAATACTTTTAGAGCCAAAAAACAAAACAATTGGCGTCACATATACCATAACACGATTTGATTCGGCTCATTAACTAGCAGCTTGTGATCACAAAGTGCTTAAATAAACATTGCCTGTCACGCACTTCGGAGGAATGTGATCACGAATGTTTCACAGAGGCCAAAAATTTTTTTCGTCAGAAACATAGCACTATGATTGGGTTTTACTGTGATTACATGTTGATCGACATGTAACGTTGCCCATTGGAGATATTTGCAATTAAAAAAGCCTAATTTTCGGTCTCTTAAAATTGTCGCGTGACATGGTTGATTATGAAATGCTCTCGATTGGCGAGGATGATTTCAAATCAATCCAACTCTGAACCTTCGATTGCTTAAGGTTCAAAAAATTGTTGGATGAAATGAGATTAAAATCCATCGCATTCTATCAGTGTGGGAGATCTTTTTTGGAAGTGCAATTTTAGGGCTAATTTCGGGGTTTTATCCCTGGGATTTGAAGTGAAAGCCCTTGTACCCCAGGGATTAATCGGGAGCCCAAACTACTTTGGACTCTTGAATAACTTTATGATCTTAATCATCTGTGAAAGTTTGAGAGAAATCGGTGAGATGGCATGTGTCACGCCTGGCTGGTCCTCTCGTGGACAGACTCTTAAACATACAGTTATGACAAAGGATAGTAATTTTCATTCAATCGCTTATTTTTGTTTCTTTGTTTATCGTAAGTTGCTTGCAAGACGAAGAAATTTCGAAGGAAGAGCTGGGGAATGGTTAAGACATTTCCACCTCCTGAATCGGGTGCTTCAAATGGACCCACATCCGCAAGAAAGACTGGGGCTCAAAGCCATGAAGATTGCTGAAAACTTTCTCGTATCTTTCTAGTTTACTTGGTTTTCACTTGAATGAGCAAGCAGTGTAATGTACTACAATCAGTGAATAATGTAAAAAAGCCAGTAAATTGTATAAATCTATCAATTTTCCTATCCAACATGCCCGGATTGTGTTACACACTGCATGTCATGCTCAATTTACAATGACGCCAGTTGGTCACGCTAGATATTATAATCGTACCGGTCGCAATGTAAACAAGGCAAACAGCTTTATAGTTACAAGTGGACGGAAGCTAATGGACATGTGGGATTATTTAACATGATTATTAAACCAAAATCATTGTAGAATCCAGGCAAGAGATAATTTTTAAAAAGAGAACATTTATTCCACGTTCACTGTCAAACGAGTAAATTAAACGCATCCGATTACTTTGAAGATGATGATGAAAAGTGATGGTTTGACTAAAAGGAAAAATGATGGTTATAATTACAATAGATCTAAGGAAATTTACAAGTACAATGAAAACGGAAAAGGACTAGCGACTTACAGATATTTCCTCCTATTGACGTAAACGGGCAGAGTGAAATTATTGATGATTGAGAATGAAACTGACTTGCAGGCCAACACTTTGAAAAACGAAAACTTAGAAGTGTAATCAAATAAATGACATGGTGATCAAGGGTAAATTTTAAATCAAAAGTAACGCACTTAAATGAAAAGCCACGCACGTTTGAATCTTACAATAATACAGAACGTGTAAATTTGATCATCAACAATCGATTTAAACACGTAAACTAACACTTCCTTCTTAATGTCAATTCTGACATCCTCGTCCATCGCTCGGCTTTCAAGTCTTGAAAAATGTCTTTTATCATACACCAAAACGCATTCTATTCCGCGATTTTTTTTTTTTTTTTTCATGTACATATAACCATTTTTGTAAGGGAATTCATCCTCTCTTGATTCAACTAAAAAGTAAAGGGCTAGGTTGGTTTGACGTTCAGTATAGATCATTAATAAAACGTAACTATTGAGAATAACCGAATGATACGTAAAACCCGACATTTTAATAGCTCACAAGTATATGATTATGATAATTCATAAATTTTAGAATTATCAACGATTCCTTTGACACTTACCTGTTCTCAACAGTAGCAAATCAATTCCAAGAAGTATCAGCACGTACACCTTTACCACATTCATCGTTCAATGTTTTGGATAAGGACGCCACGAAAGTCAAAGTTTAGCTTCAATGACCGATTAAGATTTTGACGCAATTTCCGTTCGCTCAAGGTGTGACTTTGGAGGAAACAGGGAAAGTTTGGAGAGAGATCACGCCTCAAGCAAACTGTAATAATTCATTAACAACAAGATGTATTTCATCAAGAATGAGCAAATTATGAAATTAGAATTCATTTATAATGAGTTTCAACTTCTGAAGGAAATCTTTTTTATATCTAGTGTGTTTTGTGTATCTACATAAGTTGTGTTGCATCGTTAGGGAATAGAACGAAGAAGCTGCGCGCGCATAGTTCTCAGCGTAATGTTAGCCTGTTCATCTAAAATGATATTTTTAATATCACATCCTATACGTAAATGTACTTTAGACGGAAATGGAACCAGTATAATATACCACATGGAATGTTTGGAACCACGAAAGTCAGTAGGAAGCAGTTTTGCCTAAATTATGCAGTAATACGTTACAAAAGTTAATCATTTGCTTTTAGCGTGGCGCTTCTCGCGGTTTCCGTTTATGAAAGCGCTACTGGTTGGATGTTAACAATATCGCTCGAGTGTGTTACACTAATGACGACGTCTGGTTTGCTGTCTCGGTTGCTCACATGCTTTTGATACATCTGGTCAACATGGCGTTTCCAGAGTTGTTCTCCCACCAGGTCTTTTTATATGAGACGGGACCGGTCTGGAGCTGAATAGTGGCCAACAAGCCACTTTGGCACACCATGGACGTTTTGCACCAGAACTTCTTCACCGGGAGTGAATTCTCTTCCTTTACTATTTTTACCGTGTCTGGCTTTCTCGTTAGTTTGTCTGTTAACTACTTTCCGACCGAAGTAATGACGCATTAAATCTAATCTCGCTCTTAATGGACGATTTAGGAATAATTCAGGTGATGTTTGGCCTGTAGTGCTATTTGGTGTCGTTCGGTAGCTGAATAGAAATCGCGAAACTTTGCTTAATCGATTCGTTCCCCTCCGCTTTAAAAAAATTGCTCAAAAGTTTGGACGAAGCGCTCAGCTTGGCCGTTGGATCGAGGGTGATACGGAGCAACAAGCGTATGTTTGATGCCGTTCGGTTTTGTAAATTTACAGAACTCTTCCGAAGTGAAATGTGTACCGTTATCACTCACGAGATGCTGTGGAATGCCATATCGAGCAAACATGTTGCGAGGCTTTGTGATTGACGCTTCACTAGTGATGCTAGACATTATTTCTACCTCAAACCATTTGGAGTAACTATCGACGACGATTACAAACATTTTACCCCTAAATGGACCTGCAAAATCGATATGCACTCTGCCACGGCAGTTTAGGCCAATCCCACGGGTGAAAGGGTGCCAGTGGGGCTTGTTGCGTGATTTCTGACAATTGTCGTATTTCCGTACAATTGTGGCTATTTGTCAAGATTAGGCCACCAAACGCGAAGTCACGCGAGTGACCTCATACGGACAATACCTGGGTGCTCAGTGTGTAATTCAGATAACACGTTCGCGAAGTTGGCTTGGAATTATGACTCGAATCCCCCACAGTAAACAACCATCTTCGACTGTAATTTCGTGACGTGTGCAGAAATACCGTGGGATTTCCGGTGTGATTTGTTTATCTGGCCAACCTGTCATCACTTACAGTGATAATCTCGACAAAATTGGGTCGGTTCGTATCGCCTTGCGAACTTGATCGACATTCATCGGCAAGGACTCAATTTGCAATCGGTTGATGAATCTGATCTCATCGACTTCTTCTCCTAATTCGTCGCTTTGTACCGACAAATGGATTAAACCGGCGTTTGCATGTTTTGTCGTCGAGCGTTACTCGATATCATATTGATAAGCGGCGAGCAGTAATGCCCATCTCTGTAATCGTGCGGCTTCTAGAGTTAGGATACCGCTTTTCGGTCCTAACAATGTGGTCAACCGTTTGTGATCGGTGACTAAAAGAAATCTTATTCCGCACAAGTATTGGTGAAACTTCTTCATTCCGAATATTATGCTAAGTGCTTCCTTTTCTATCTGCGCGTAATTACGCTCGCTTTTCCCTTCGACTCTGTCTTTCAGTAATTCGTTTAACGGATGGCTGATAGTCGAATAATTACAGATGAATTTCAAATAATAATTGATCATTGCGAGGAATGATGACCTCAGCTGATGCTGAATCATGGATGCGGGTGCCTTTCTTATGGCTTCAAGCTTTTTCTCGATTGCATGTATTCCTTGCGCATCTATTCGATAACCAAGATATTCAACTGTAGGCTGCATGAATTTCCCGATTCGCCAAGTTTTAACCTCAAGCCAGCGCTTTCCAACCTAACTAAAACTTAATTGAGATGAACTAAGTGCTGTTGATCATTTTCCCCCGATATTGAAATATCGTGTACTCTACAAAAGACCATCAGTATACCCTGGAGTACTTGCTCAATATTTGATTGAAAGATATATAGCCGACGCGGAGGATACCCCAAAAGGTAAACGAGTGGGTCTATATATACCGTTTTAAGTATTTATGGTTACATACTCCCTTGAATCCTCATCTAAAAGAATTTGTTTATAAGCCCTAGATAAATCTACCTTACTGAATTTCTCTTCCCCACATACTCTTATCGAATTATCTGGTTTAACGTTAAATGAAAGGCCTAGGAACTGTCGGTGCCGCCCACTCTGAGTAGCACACCTCGATTACTCCCATGTTTTCTAGGGGATCTAATTATCGGTCAATGGCTCCTTTTAAAGCATACGGAACTTGGCGCGGTTTGAAAAACCCCAGTTTTTATTCGGGCTTGACGAATAATTTAGCCTTAACACCTTGCATAGTACCTAACTCATCCTTCAATACTGATTGATGTCTACGCTATCTAATTCACAACTTATCTTCTCAATAGATCCCCAGTTTAACTTAATGTTATTTAGCCAGTTCCTTCCAAAGAGGCTTGGTACGTTCCCTTTGAGAATTTGGAGCGGTAACATGGAAATCTGGTCTTGATAAATAACTTCAACCAGTACTTGACCAATGATTTTGAGGGTTTCTTCTGTGCATAAGTCTTCAACTTAATTTGGGACTCCTATAATGGAACTTTCGGTGAATTGCCTTCTCCATATCTCTTCGGACATGGTTGAAACTGACACACCAGCGTCTAACTCCATCGAAAAGTTTTCACCATTCACCCTTACAGGAACCATGATGGATGGCTCAGGCTTTTCCTGATGAAAGTGAAAAATAATATATTCGTCGTTTGTCTCTTTTGGAAGGGTGTCGAGTCGTCTTCTACATACCGAACTGGTTGTCTTCTCACACCTTGATTCAGTCATGATACATGGGCGTAACCATCTGAGGATGTGGGTGCTTTCTTCTTACAAACTTTGGCGATATGCCCTTTCATTTACAATTCCGTCAAAATTCCTCTCTAAATCAGCATTTTTGCGTGATGTGGTCCTCGCCACTATGGAAACACGGTCTCTTTGGCTTTATCGCTTTTAGCAGATGCGATGACCTCACGTAATTTCAGGCCGCGACGAAAGTGCTGTCCGATAGCCCGGGGCTAGGGGAATGACTTGTCGGACTAGCGTTTTCTTATCGCAGCTTGCCCAACGGGCAAAAACCACCATGATTCCTCTGTTCTGATGATGATAAATTGAGCTTTTATACCAAGACTTGTGTAGCAGAAAGCTCGTGAGGGAAAAGGAAAACGTTATGAGGCCAAATTATCGTGTATGACAACGTCTTGCGCCGCATTTTAGTTGCGTCCGTAAATAACGTCATGACTTTTTCTGTTTACATAAGCGGCCGAAATAGATAGGATCTAAAAGTACTTACGAGTGACCACGAGTGACCACGAGTAACCACGAGTGACCACTAGTGACCACGAGTGACCACGAGAGAGATTAAATCAAAATATCTCAGTTTTGTTACTATGTCGCCATTACGCAGTCAAATTCACATCATTTCATCAAATACCTATTAGAAAGGAGACTATTGATTGAATATTTTCCGCGGCATACGTCCAATAATTGAAAAAAGGTCCAAACAATATATTTAAAAAAACATAACTACAGCAAAACGTATAATATTATATTTTATTATATTACCATGGTAACTTCATTCTCGTCTTTCCTTTTTGGGGGAAATATCTTTACTCTTCTTATTTAATAAGTCAGCCATGACCGAACTTGACAAGAAACGCGCAAACCCATTCTAAAGCGCGCGGAAACGCCCAAAATGCCCCCATTGTGTCTAGCTGCCTAGTTCCCATGGTTATTGTTGTATACTATTTTTGGAATCATACGGAGAGGTTAGGTGTAATAAAAAGTTGTCATGATAAACATATATTCATACGAATTGTTCACGACCCAAGCGATATATAAGCTAAGAAAATAGCCGGGCTATTACTTTGACGATAGGAGTAGTGAGTTTACGACGCAAAACCCAATGAAGTACTTCTCCAGACATCTCGTCGGCAGTACATTTGAAAGTTGGATGCAATTTTCCATTGATCAACAGCGGGTTGTTAAAATAGAGCCCAATAAAATAGTAATGTTATATTGATGACTATTCTAAAAATCGTTTTTGTTTTCAACCTATCGTAACTTTGCAATCTGTGATGTATAGTCCAGACTGCAAGTTTTTTAATATTATCGCTTCTGTTCTTTATGTTTTTCAAATCGTCGGCTATTGCTCCGAAGAAGGGCTAACGCTCGAAACGCCAGCTTTTATAATCGTAACGGTGGCCAATTTACCATTTCAACTTTGTTGATATACTCAAATTATACAGTGAATAACTTCAGTTTTCGTGAGTACGTCATTATTTCATAAAATTAGGTGAAAATGATTTCGTAATGACGTCACAGTAAGAGAACTGAGATAATTTGATTTAATCTCGCCCGTGGTCACTCGTGGTCACTCGTAAGTACTTTTAGACCCTATCGGCCGAAATATATTTTTTGAAATGACAATATTTGCCGACTGACAGCGTGCAGTGCGAGACAATCAGTCTAATTAAATTCCAGCCAAGTCACGGTTCAGTGGATTTTCTCGGAATTTTACGTGCGTTTCGTTGGGAAAATCCAAATCCGGATTCCTGTTTCTATTTAAAGGCTGCCAATTCATAATTAAAACAAAAAAAGACCCACTTCGTGTAAAAATTAAAAAAAACAAGAAAAAACTCGCTTGAAGAAAAGCTAGCAGACCTGGCTCCGTTATCGAGTTGCGTGTTTGTTTCTATTTTTTTATCGGATGCTACGGCGCCAAGTCTGGACGAGTTTGTCAGCTTGAGGAGCTTTGAAGAGAATTTACTCCATCGAATGTCGACAGACTACAGATTACAGTGGCAGTTTAATTGACCGATCGCACCGTTCATGACATTCACAAAAATAACTGTGTTGTTATTTCCATAAATTTATAGTATTTTTCACCGTCGACGGGGTAAAATGTAAACATCGAAGGAGCGAACTCATTCGAGTGCAGAGGTCATTTTTCCTTTATTATTTCGCCCATGTTTGAGTGAAATTGCACTCTGAAGTAGTCATCTGCAATCACAAGATTAGATCACATGACTGTACTTGGAATTCTCGTCCACAAAATTTTGATCTAAGTTGTAACTGCAATTTCTGGTGGTCAGGTGTAAAAACTGGTCGTTTCTGTTACATTGTTTAATTTGAGGTTGAAGTTAAAACGAAAATCACATTCAAGAATCCAAATATACGAAGAATTAGTTTCTATCTATGCTTGTCATCATTACTTGTATTTTGCACAATGAAATAAATTGAAATATTCTTTATAAACAATTTGATTTCAGGCTAGCTCCTCAGACCTTCGGGCTAGTAATCTCAAGTAACAGCTTGCCCGCAGGGCAACCTTACCTTTTCATTTTCGTCTCACCCTGCGTAATGTATGCCACTATCTGCGGGCGAATTCCTGAAGTTGTTGGCTTGCTTATCAGCAACTTCCGTTGCCAACGCCATCTCTACTGCTGTCTTCCACGTGAGACTTTTCTCAGCTAAGAGTCTTCTGAATTTGTCTGCTTCTCGGGCCACAGACGAATCGGTCCCTGAGGGCTTCCTCTTAAAAATGTACCGAAGGCAGTGTTCTGAACACTTCTTTAGGGCTGCACTGTACACCGTCACACATTTCCCCTTGAGCTGTTCGCGCTTGTGGAAGTGAAAGCGTTCAGCGATCACGATCGGCTTTGGTTCATAGTGATCTCGTAACGTTGCCACTAAATCTGTCAGTTTTACGCTAGATGGCTTTGTTGGGTTTATACTATAATCTTTAATGACGATGCCAACGTCACAAAAGTGGTTTCAAGGAGGGTCCTAAGTTAAATATTAATACTAATACAAAGATAAACTACAAATAGCAACAAACAACTAAAGCTAAATCTAAAAACTAATTAAAATACTAATCACAAAGTATTAACTAAAAGTAATACCAGCAAAGTCAATTCAAATTCAAAATTAAATTTAGACAGGCCACGTTTAAAGGCAGGCAGTGAGTTTGCATTTCTTAGTGAGATGTCTAAACCATTCCATATATCTGCGCTAAACTTAACTGACGACCAATGACCCCATCTTCTTGTGGCACTGGATTTTCGAACGTCATTTCTCGATCTTGTGTTGTAACCATGAAAGTCACGATTAAATGTGACAGGAATAGTATTACATGAATGGTTGTTAATTAATCTATACATAAAGATGGCCGTGCAGCATCACGAGCCACAGGTAAACGGAAGTTCAAATATTCGAAAAGGCTGGTTGCTATGGAGTGACGTCACAAACCGGATAAGTTTCCATCATCGCCTTGACAGCCTTTTTCGATAATTGCTCGCAGTAATCTGAGTAGTTGCTTGATCGAGTTTGTACAATCTCTGTTCCTGCTGGGTACAATGAAGCCTTTTGTTTATTAGGGGCTGGATCGGCCTATTGACATTTGGAGATTGGATTTCATGTTAATATGCGTAAGCAAAAGTGGGAATGTTTAGTTTCCCGCGGTCGAGTGCAGTTATGGATCCCTTGAAACTTCGAAGGGTTGAATTGCTTCATTCTCCTCCAGATGAGTCAAGGGAATGGTTTATCTTAAATTTCAAGAAATGTGGCATAAGAGTCAGCAAGTTTTTTGAAGTAGCCTGTTGGTGGCACATTTTCCAAGCGTTTTGTACGGTCCAGCTTTAAAAAATGGCGGAAGCTTGGATGACCGATATGTTCAGAACAACAAAGTGGCCATCGCCTCTCTATTTGGAGTTGTTTCTACCATCTTCCGGCAGAAATTCGAAGAAGGAGAAGTGGTGAGATATCTTTGGTTGATCGATAAAATAAATTCTTGATCCTGGATCAAGAAAAGCTTGGCAAACGTTACTTAGCATTTTCAAGCTAAGACGAACCGGGGTAAGTCATAACGTTTATATTTTTATTAAGATTGGAAAAAGTGAGTTTGCTGTCTTATGTTTTGTTGTGAATGCTGGTTTCACGGTGTATCAGAACTCATCTCTGCTTGGCAGGAAAATCACATAATTGGCTGAGTTTGATTTTACGCTGAGCCTCTAAGTCTTCTAGCTATGATCACTTTTTATGGCTACTTTAGGAGAAATTTCGGGTTTGTTTCCTTGATAGGGTCTTGACAGTATTATAATTTATTTCATTTCTATTTTTCTACGATAAAAGATTTAAATCGCCAGAGGGATGCCATTGAGAAAACTGGAATAGTAGTTAATGGAAGATGCTTTAAAGTTAAATTTCCAGGTTATTTGTGTGTGCCAATCTTGACTCTTTATATTTTTTTTATCTTATTATTTTTTATTTTTGCAATGTTTTTATGTTACATGTCTAGCTACGTGATAGTAATTATTGAATCCATTTTATGCTTGGCAGTGTTAGAAAATATCTGGGAAAGTATAACATTTGAGATCTTTGGTGTAGCTATTTTAACTTCAACTTCTTGTTATCTTCTTGTCTTTTTTCATGACAGTTACTCTTGATTACAAAACACTGATAATGCTGCTCAAGCAAAGAGCTGGTGATGCCAAAAAATATATCAATGAACTTTGCAAGCAAGGATTGGACACAGAGTGCTGTGTATTCTGCAAAGTTATTAAGGTAGGTTATACCTGCAATGCTAAATGACATGCATCATAGTGGAATTATACAATAACACAAAACATATTCAGCCTACTGGTATTTGTTATGCAATTTATTTATAATCAATTAGTGAGAGCTTTCTTGGCTTTCTTGACTTTACAGAAAGGCAGACGAAAGGTGTCCATAAAAGTGAACATATTTTATCTGTGGTGAACAGTGATTATATATCTACCATTAGTAGTGAACATTATATGACTTTAGCTCAGTTAATTCATTATTGAGTGATACATGCAATTTATTTGTAGGAATGTGCCTCTCCTGATGTTCCTTTTGGGGAAGCCTTTGCTGAGTGTTTCCTAAAGAGCAAAGCAAATATTGGGGGGTAGGTACAACTCTGCATTTCTGCATTGACATGCATAAAAAGTTCCAGCTTGCAGTATGGTATTTCACTTTCTATTGGAATACATGTCTTTAAATCTCACTTGGGATACTTAGTTTGATGGACAGTTGGCATACTGCCGGCCGACAGTTGGCCGACAGTTGGCCGACAGACTTTTAGGGGAGCTGTTCTTCACTTTTACCCAGTTACCAGCAAAAATATGGTAAGCTTGGATTATAAAGGTGGAAACTTTATTCACTGTTTTTTTTTCTGTCTGTTTCAGATGGAAGGGGTTAAGAGATGACTTGCTCTTTCTCCTTGAAGAGGAGCCATGTGATGTTAATTTATGTGCTCTGCCTGCAGTGTATGACATTTTAATTTTTAAATTCTGTGCACCCATTGAAGTAAGGCATAGTCAACATTGTATCATTTAAAAAAATCTATTTTCTTGAAGTCTTATCCTGTAACAATATTATTTTGTTTAGTGTTGCCTGGTCACTTCTGAGATATATATTTATTTGTCATATTTCTAAGATTTATATGGCATTCGGCGTAATGCCTGAGAGCTTGTGGGATATAGCAAACTTAGTTTTTCATTCACTGTTAATAGAGGGAAATTATGTCTTTCCTTTCTGGTTCACCCAGGCTGAAGTCCTTCATTCAGAGTAATGCCTGAGCAATTCTGGGATATATAACATACCTAGCTTTTCATTCATGGTCAATATAGGGAAGTGTTGTCTATCCTTTCTGGTTCAC